GGGGCTGAATAATTTTGCACGGCCAATTTTTCAGTTTTTTATTTGTTAAAAAAGTTTGAAATATCCAATAAATTTCGTTCCACTTCATGATTGTGTCCCACTTGTTGTTGATTCTTCACAAAAAATTACGGTTTTATATCTTTATGTTTGAAGCCTGAAATGTGGAAAAAGGTTGCAAAGTTCAAGGGGGCCGAATACTTTCGCAAGGCACTGTACTTCTTGTGCCAGCTCAGGAGGTTCAATCTGTCCCAGAAGCTGCTGATACAGTTCTACAGAGGAATCACTGAATCTGTTATCAGTTCTTTTGTCACTGTCTGGTTTGGCTCAGCAACCAAACAGGAGAGGAACAGACTCCAGTGAGCAGTCAGGATGGCAAAAAGAATCATCGGTGCCAGCCTGCCCTCCATAGAGGACCTGTACACCTCATGTGTCAAAAGGAGGGCAGAGAAGATTTCTGCAGACCTCTCACACCCTGGACCCAAACAGTTTGAACTAATCCCCTCTGGACAGCGCTACAGGTCACTGTACACCAAAACAACCAGACACAAGAACAGTTACTGCCATCACACCAAAAAACACTTAACCTATGACTGTATAACAGAGTGACAACCCTCGGTGCGATACCTTGTAAATATACTTTTGTATATATCTATCTGAAAAACTGCATCTAGGCAGCACGGTGGCAGAGTGGTTAGCGCCGTTGCCTCACAACGAGAAGGTTCCGGGTTCGGGCCCCACCTAGGACCTTTCTGTGTGGAGTTTGCATGTTCTCCCCGTGCTTGCGTGGGTTCTCTCCGGGTGCTCCGGCTTCCTCCCACTGACCAAAGACATGCAGCTTAGGTAATTGCTGGCGGGGATTGGCTCCGGCCCCACCCGTGACCCCGTTCAGGGACTAAGCGGTAGAAAATGAATGAAAAAAAAAACTGCATCTAAACAGTTTGTATATATAGTTTGATATTTAAGTACTTTATTCTTGTTTTCCTAATGCACACTTTCTTCTTGCTTGCACGTTCTTTTTCTTTTTTCTCTCAGTCTTATCTTGCTTACTTGTGTACTCATCGCCTTATGGAATAACATTGTACATGCACACTGAGAGCCACTGTGCCAGAGCCAAATTCCTCGTGTGTTCAACACACCTGGTCAATAAGGCAGAGTCTGATTCTGAAGTGCAGTTTAACTTGAACTTCACCCAAAGCAGCTCTTCATCTATAGCCCCCTCCCGGACACAAGTAGCTACTACCAGTACCCACAGTAGACAACCTAAAACCTCTTGCTGCTAATCTTTTTTAATGACTTTGGCTGGACCGTCCAGGCTCCTCCCTGGTGTTGCACGATAGATAAGAAACCTCTAGTGTCTAAACCGTTTGTACAGCAGACTACTGCAGGGTCTGTAAGATGGGAGATAGTCTATGTAGACAGTCTGATGGAAGGCAGTTAATCGCATTTGAATTGTTTTAATTTTTACTTATACCTAAGTACTATTTTTTATTTTTACAGTACACAGATAGATGTTCAATATTAGGCAATTTCGTTGAAAGCCTTGGGGCCCTGCTGCTGTGGGGACCGTTTTCAGTGGAAACTCACTTCCTGTGTTGTCTGCGCAGCAGAGGCGTGGCAGCAGATCACAGTGACGTCGTGTGTGGTTGTCGGGCGGGAGGGATCCAGTGTCTCTGTTCCTATTCCTCCTCCACAGCCATCGCTCTCTCAGCCTTTTGGTGGTGGTGGTGTATTCTCTCTTCTCGGCCGGTCAGGATGGCAGCGGTCAGGACCCTCAGGAAACTGTGCCAACACTCCCAGCATCACGTCTGTAAACTGCACACGTCCGCCTCGAGGTGAGTGCGAACACCAACTCTTGGTGATTTAAACCAGGGGAATTCAATAGCCTGCCACTTTTGCGAAATGTTCACCGCCTTCCAAAGTGAGAACACATGTTTGTGTCTCCCTGAAATATTTCTTATTTTGCCGGCTTTCTTTCATACTGACTACGCATTGATTAGGTCTTGCGTTTTATTTGGGGTTTGTTTGATTGTACTGTACCAAATGTTCACGTTTCGCTGCGCCCCTAGCGTTATGCCGGTAGCATTGCAGTTGCCGGCTGGCTGATGAAATCGATAGGAGTGCTTGCACCCTATGCCACCAGGAAGCCAGGTTTCAGCAGGCGATCGAGGTGTTGGTCTGTACCCAAGGAAAAGAACAACTTGTGCCTTGGAGCCGTTAGGTCCCCGATGTCATGATATGATTTCAAATAGCAAAAGCAATAAGTGATAGACTGTGTCGCTTGGGGGGACATGCGATCACACATCAGGCGCCTCAGACTCTATTTGGTGATTCAATCTTTGCAAAAAGCAGCTCTCCTTTGACATGTGTTGCTTGTTTGTACTATACACAAACTCTAGGATGTGAAATATTATACTGTAACAGTACCAGTGCTCAGTCAGGTGGACATGTGTCTAATTTTAGGGGTTAAAGTCGGTGCTGTCCAGAGTGGATGTTTAGGATTGATTACAGGTTTCTGGTGATTCAGCAGTAATCAGATAGACTGGGAACAGTAGATATGTGGGTTTAGATTAGGTCTGTAAAGGATATGAGTTGTAAGAAAGGTAAATTACTGTTATTTTGATTTAACTGTATTTTAAATTTGTTTGCTGGCTATCTTTGAAAAAAAATGTGTTGTGTTTATGGCTAGTGATACTGATTTAAAAAAATCTTTGTTGTCGTCATCATTTTGACATTTTATATACTAAATAAGTAATTGCTTTAAAAAAAATTGCAGCCCCATATTCACCCCAGTGTTTTTGCAACTCTCAGGCAGGAGGCAGTGGTCATCTCAGGAAAGAAACTCGCACGGCAGATTCGGGAAGAGGCCCGGGCCGATGTGGAGAAATGGGTTTTAGCTGGCCACCGGAGACCACACCTGAGTGTAATTCTGGTGGGAGACAACCCAGCAAGTCACTCCTATGTCCTGAATAAGACGCGTGTTGCAGCTGATGTTGGTGAGGAAAAACCTGCACAGTCCTCACACATGTAAACAGTGATTCTTCACTAAAAATCACAAAAGAACAAAGGCTCGCCTGTGTTTAAAGTTTTCTCACCTCACCCTCCCACAGGACTCTCTAGTGAGACAATTCTCAAGCATTCAGACATCAGTGAGGAGGAGTTACTGGAACTGATCTACAAACTCAACACAGACCATCGCGTGGATGGCCTTCTGGTCCAGCTGCCCCTGCCAGGTACAGAGGCAAAAACCTACATATGTGTGCTTAGATAAGTTCAGCTTTTACAGACTTGTCTGTGTTCTTCAACAAAATGTTCAAGAGCAACTTGTCCTGATTGTTTATTTTATTACAGACCACATAGACGAGCGCACAATCTGCAATGCAGTTTCCCCTACCAAGGACGTAGACGGCTTCCACGTAGTTAATGTGGGTCGCATGTGCCTCGATCAGTCCACCATGCTTCCTGCCACTCCCTGGGGAGTCTGGGAAATTATTAAACGCACAGGTAAATAGGAGCGATCAGTTGCTTCCTCATAGGACTGAAATGCTGCTGAACAAGCTATTTAAACTAACTGTGCCAACTCTTGCCTTCTAGGTATCCCTACCCTTGGGAAGAATGTTGTGGTTGCAGGACGCTCCAAGAATGTGGGTATGCCCATCGCCATGTTACTGCATACAGACGGCCGGCATGAGAGGCCAGGAGGTAGGTGATGATGTGTGTTTGTGTGCTTGCCAGTGGTGGAAGAGGATTGTTTATTTAAGTAAATGTATCAATACCACAGTGTAAAAATACTCTGTTACAAGTAAAGGTCCTGCATTCAAAATGTATTAAAGTAAAAGTATGAGCATCAGAAAGTGCCAAAAGTAAATGTACTCATTATGCAGAATGGCACAGTTCACATTATTGGATTAGAAATATTAATGCATAATTGTGCACATCACATGTAATGCTGCAGCTGGTAAAGGTGGAGCTAATGTTAATGCTTATAATTTGAAGTACTTTACATATTGCTGGGTAGCTTGCGATTTCCCGCCTGAGATCAATAAAGTCTTGTGATTATACTGCATTTTGTATTATTAAGGTAATTCTGAAAAGTAACTAGTAACTAAAGTTATTAAAATAAATGTAGTGGGTACAAAGTACAACATTTTTCTCTGAATTGTAGTGAAGTCAAAGTATGAGGTAGCAGAAAATGTAAATACTTAAGTAAAGATAACTCAAAGTTGTACTTAAGTATAGTACTGGAGTAAATGTACTTGGTTACATTCCACCTTTCATGCTTGCATGTGGGTTCCTGTGTTGGATTATGTATGAGGAGAGATGTCATGTATACTTACTAAAGCGTGGTTCTGCTGCAGGTGATGCCACAGTCACCATTTCTCACCGTTACACTCCAAAGGAGCAACTTTGCCAACACACTAAAATCGCTGATATCATTGTGGCTGCTGCAGGTTTGTGTCACTGAACTGTCTGAAGCTCATCTCTCTTGAATAGTTTGTGTTATTTCTGCTAACTGATCCGTGTTCCTGAACTATCAGGGATTCCAAACCTCATTACTGCGGACATGATCAAAGAGGGAGCAGCGGTGATTGATGTTGGAATAAATAGAGTGCAGGACCCCGTCACTGGAAAGAACAGATTGGTCGGAGATGTGGATTTTGAAGGTAAGGCTGGACAGTGAACATGTTTTGTAGCGAGATACTTTGTCTCTCATGTGTCAGTAATGCCACACTTTTTCTCTCCACTTCCAGGTGTGAGGCAGAAAGCAGGCTTCATCACTCCAGTACCTGGAGGTGTTGGACCCATGACTGTGGCGATGCTTATGAAAAACACCATCAAAGCAGCTAAGAACGTTCTGCTGTATCCCCCAGAGAGGATCCGCTTGGCAGCTGCATCCTAGTGCATGCTCCAACAACAGTGACACATTCCACTCCCTCCAACACTACCACCCCTCTCTTTTTTTATTTGGAGCAACGTGATGAGCTCCCCTTGCACAGGAACTGGAAAGATGATAGCTTTAAGGCTCTCATCCTGATACCATCTTTACCCTGCAGCCATTTTTAGATTGTTATATTCACTTGTGCAGCTGCATGTTATATGTGACAGGATTGTCAGTATTTAACATTTATAGTGTATTTCTGTAAGACTTTGGAGTTTTAAAAAGTCTTGCAAGTGTTTTATTTATTGCCACAGTCACATAATATTTAAACATGAATGGTGACAGGTTATGCTGTTTATCTCAAAGGCTGGTGAGCAGTTAAAGCAGAGTGACTGAGGCTTGTCTGTTTCATGTTATATTTTTTTCCCCTACTTATTTAGCCTTATGTACTGAGGGTGATAAGGGCTAAAATCATCAGGAAAAGTCATTTTCAAATACAAGCTTTAAAGATTCACAATTGCCTTTGTAAAAACATTAAAATAAATGTTACAAATGTGTTCACATATTGATGCTTTTTGTGCACACAAACTCTTCCTTTACATGTCTGAACAGTGACCATGAACTGTTCACAGAATCAGATTCATATTAATGCACTTACCCCAAATAGAACCCACTCATCAGAAATTATCATTGTAATTAATTGCCTCTTAGCACTGGTATTAAATAACCACCTGTTCCTGTCTTCATCACCACAGAGCTGCATCAGTGATTTCTCAGATTTGAATTTGTACTTTCATTTTATCCTATGCCAATACCCACTTTGAGCTGTGAAATGAATTATTGCCTAATTGAAGATTTCTAATGCATCTGCATTCTAATCAGCCAAATGCTAAGGGAACCCTGCTGCTTTTTCCACTAAAAAGCAAACGAGTATTTACATGCAGGCTAAATTCACAGTAAGATTTTTTTTTAAAGGGCAACAAGGACACATTTTCTGACAAATCAGAATAAAAAGTGATGGCAGTCTACACAAGATACACAGCATTTGACTAAGGGGGAAAGTAGACTAATGCTTTTTAATGGTGTGTTTCCTGTAAAGATGATTTAAAAGGGGTAAAAGACAAGTTTGATATTTCTATTTTATATGTTTTTAAAAAGGGTAGAGCTCAACTAAATACATTTACTGAAATGCTAATTTATACTATTTTGATACATTTCAGAGGGAAATATTTACTTGATTTAGTTGACAGCTGTTCTTATTTGATTATTCAGATTTTTCATAAGAAAACACGATTCGTTAGAGGTTATTTCATCTGTAATAACAGCAGAGTACATTTAGCAGAATATACTGTATAAGTAATTAACATCTGCACCGTTTACCAGCTACAACATTAGAGCAACATTAGAGTGACGTAACTGTTGCATTGCATACTTATAATCCAGTAATATTATATTATTCTAATACTGGCCACTCCTCACAAAATTCTGCTTTTACTTTTGGTACTTTTAGTATATTGTCGGGTAATGTTAAAGATATTCAGCACGTACAATACATGGCTATGAATAAAAGTAGGAACTAGGAACCTTAATAAAGCACCTACCGCCCCCGACGGTAAGAAATTAAAGGCGAGCACTCTTCCGTAAACGACAAAAACAACGGGTGCTACTTCCTGTGGTCCTCAGACAGTTTTTTCAGTGTGGATTTAATTTCGTTTTGTGTCTTTTGTGATGGACCGTAGTAGATCCCCTGACAGAGCTGGTAGAGAGAAAAAACACGATAAGAAGAAGAAACGGAGACGGTCCTCCTCTTCATCGTCGTCATCGTCACCCGGCAGCAGGAGTCGAAGCACATCGTTAAAAAAAGCACCACGCAAGAGTCGAGGTTTGGACTTGAAAGTTGCACATTTTTGCTTTTATCATTAAACGACACCGTTGAACTTCTTTGTTTGTTCCCCAGATGTGAAAACACAAAAAAAGAAACGCAAAAGGAGCTCCTCCTCTTCTTCTTCGTCAACTAACTCTTCTTCCTCGTCCTCTTCATCCTCGTCGAGTGATGAAAAGACCAAGAGGAAGAAAAGCAAAGCCAAGAAGAAGAAGCTGAAGAAGAAAAAGGCGAAGCTGAAAAAGCAGATGAAAAAGGAGAAAAAGAAGAAAGAGAAGCAGAAGAAGAAAGCAGAGGTGCTTCCGTCCGCTGGTCCGGCGGAGAAGCGTCTATCTCACCTGGAGGTGTGGAACGAGGAGGGGGCAGTGGAGCTCGGACCTGGTGGGACACACCGCTGCTTCACACTGTGCTTTAACGTTCTCACTGCATGAGGGAGATTTTTACGACGCTGTACATTTCAGTACAAGGCATGGGTGGCTAAATGGTTTTGAAGGATCAGAATCAATTATTTGCGATGAAAATGACAATTGACATATAAAAATCCAATTTTCATAGAGTCCAAGTTGACAAGTATCATTTACAGTAGCAGTTAAACAAATAGTTGATTATTCGTTTGTCCAAACCTTTTCTGGTTCCAGACCAGCAAATGTGAGGTTTTGCTGGTCACTGTACCGTGAATATCTTGGCGTTATGGAAAAGACAAGGAACATAAGGACATTTCTTTATGTTCTTGGTAATTGTGATGGACATTTATTTAAAACTTTCGTAGACATTTTTTGGCCTCAAATTTAGGCCCTAAATGATTAATTATAATGGCCATAATAGGCTAGTAACTATCTAGACAGCGAACCATTTTAATTCATCTACTATGACCATTGGAAGAAAATTGTCTGGTTATTTTTTTCCACTGTTCCCAGTGCTGTTTTCTCTAGAACCTTTGTTGGCCTACAAAAGCAAACAAGACACACAAGGTGCATTAAGTTTAGTTATTTTTCTGCAGTCATGACAGACGAACAAAAGGCCAGACTGTCCACTAAACGGCCTCTCACCAAAGAGGAGTATGAGGCCAGGCAGAGTGTGATTCGCAAGGTGGTGGACCCTGAAACAGGACGCACCAGGTAACCCAGAGCTTGTTATATTACTAATTGTGTTTATGTATTGTATGATGTTTCCCTATTTTAACCTTTAAACTTGTTAAACTCTAGCTTGTCATACATAACCAGTGATTTTAAAGGAACAGTTCACCCACTCTATTGTGATTTGTGAACTTCTGCTTTCCTCTAGATTGGTGAGAGGAGAGGGAGAGATCATAGAGGAGATAGTCAGCCGAGAAAAACACAAAGATATCAACAAGGTACAAGAGTAACTTTAAACTATAACTTTATGAAACAAGCATATTGTTACCTTGAAACTAACAGTGAACATCCATTCATTCCACAGCAAGCCACCAAGGGAGATGGGAACGCCTTCCAGAGAAAATTGGGAATGAATAGATAGTGCTGGGTATTAAACTTCAATACTTTTATGGCATCAATTGAATTACTTCAATAACAGAGTATCGAAAAATGCTTTTCTACATTTTTATTGACGCTAACAGAACTAGGTTGTGGTAAATAGGTTGACCTTTCATGTTATGAAACTGTGCAAAAAATGGCAAGGAATTGAAAAATCAAACTAATGATTTGTACCTAAATGTGTAATGTATGTTTTATTTAAATTTTATTTTATAAAATTGGTATTGAAATAAGTAGCAGTTAGGAACCGGTATCAATGTCATTGTATCGGTATCAAACATTTTGGAATAATACCCAGCCCTATCAACAGGTAGAAGATGGAGTTGTCTCCTTCAGGAGTGCAGCCTCTGTAAGGTGAAACTGGCTAAAGTTTATTTAGAATAATCAACTAAATGCATTTAGTATGCTTTTTCTATCAAAGATCTGCCTGTGATTGAACTGTATAGTAGTGAATGTACAAAGTAATAGGGACAAGTCCTCTTGATGTACACTGAGCTAAATCCAGTTAAGTAATTCTCTCCTGTTGATTTGCCCTTTTAAAATCATCAACACAGTGAGGATGTCCCAAATAGTTTGCACATCCAATGTGTGTTTACACTGTTTTGTGCGTATTCATTTTTGCTTAGTTCAGCATGTAAATGCAAGGATCAATCCTAAATGAACTTCTGAGGATGTCTGACATGTAATAGTGCCAACAGTCTGAGCATTAAATAAATACTTTATCTGAAACCTGGTACAAAATCATAGGCCTTTGCATCACTTAATATGAAACATTAAAAAGTTGATTTAAGTGTTCAGTATCCTGCATGTCTAGAGGGATAGTCTACAGATTTTTGTTTGTTGTGTACTTATGTGTATCCTCATCTTTGCACCTCGCATTTTAATTTCGGCTCAATCAAGTTGCAAACATTAACTTCTAAAGAAGTTGAAATCAATACCAGTAATTAAACCTGACATTTTTAGTTAGCGACATGTCAAAACATTTATACACATTTTACAACCTTTTTGACAATCTCCCTTAAATATTGGATGAAACTATCCTTGTAATCAAGCTGAGCCATTCATGACAGTGGTATTATGCAGAGTGTGGAAAAAAAGGCCAACATTAGTTTGTTGTTCTTTATACACTGTACATAAAAACACAATTTACCAAGGAAAGTTGTGTGTATATACAGTCTATGAATGCTAACTGTTGAAACAGTTGTGCCATTTGCATTGCCTAATGTTGGTGAAATATGTCAAATCAACCTCTCCTTTGTACATTTGCTTTACATTGAAAACAAACCAAAGCCTTTTAAGAAAATATGGCCTTTTCCCATTTCCACAAATTAAAGCGTACACAAACAATCTATTCAGTAGACTCTGTTGTTTTCCACAAAGTCGGGTCGGGTGCGGGCAGTGTTCATTGTAGGCCTTGCAACACAATGGTCAATGTAAGGCAGAACAGGGAAATGTAAGGCCTCTGGTAATGTTTGTGGCAGTAGCAGAATCAAATCGACTGTCTGCCTAAACTTCCTAGATCACCACACCACTTTGTCGTTAAATTCTCTGGATTGTAACACCCTGGCAACTCAGATCTCTGCGGAAGGGAATATGGTTTAGTAGTTGCAAAGTTTAAATGGGTACTCCTGGAAAACATTCTCATTTTCTATCCTTTTTTTTCTACTGACTATGAATGTATGAACAGATATTCTTTAATCATCAGCTTTCCAAAGAGGTGTCTGTATGGCTTTAAGCCGAATCTTGAAAAAGTCGAAATGCAGAGGGCCATTTGCACAGTACAAAACACACCTTCCTTTTGACTGAGGTTATACTGTAATTATCTTTGCACAAGGATTTACACTCAATTGTCTAAAACTTTGTCTACCCTCATTCATGTGCAGTGGACAAAATATTAGAAACACCTCTCAGTGTAACACAATGCAATTCAACAGCACCACAATTCACAGCCTCCAAAATGACCATTAATTTGAATTGGTACTTCTGTAAAGTGTTCCAACAAAAACTGAACATTATCAGCTTCATAAAGTTTTATTGCAGGGCTGTGTATTAGACCCCATTAATATCAGCTAGGTGTACCTAATAGACTAGCAACTGAGTGATGATTTTTTGTCATTTTTACAGTTAATCTAGGCGCCCATGTCTTAGAATGGAGACATCACCACAAAAACAAAGACTGAGCATGTGTGTACACAGGAGTAAGCCTCCTGTCATGGTCACTTTACTGGGAGAAATCTCTGTCCCTGTGCCTTTGTGTAGGTCAGAGCCATGTCGAGATATGCTCTGCAATCTGAAACCTGTAGAGCATGTGCCTGTTCAACTGATTGTCAATGCATGGTGGAATTTCCCCAACACAGTCTGATCTTGTGGTGTGGTTGAGTCATATTGCACGCTTCCCCTTACATCTGAGTCCATATTGGTCCATTGCAGTCAATTATGTACATGCCTATTAGAGGGACATCATTTGAATGAATAAATCAAACTTTTTTTTTTTTTTACCCAGAAATAAATGGCCAACAGCATAAAGTAAATCTGAGCTCTGTGTTCCTAAATCTGACAACATAATGTACAGAATTTACAATTTGCAGCTCATTCTTCCTCTAAAGGTGCAGCAGAATCAAGGGAGGGACCTTAACCTAAAGAGGATTATCTATGAGCACATTCGGCGCCTCATTTATGGCACAAAACAAAGAGAAGCCATATCCCAAACTTCCAAAATAGACAATAACATACTTACAATATGTGACACAAGATAGCTGTTCTGTTGATACAGTTCTGGTAATCTGCATGATAAAATGCTAAACATACAATACTGTGCCAGGCAACGACCTTTTCAATTTTGGCTACTGCAACTCAACTCTGAAGAAAGAGAAAAAAAAAACTGTCAATCTTAAAAACACATTTTGTTCACAAAATCAATATATTTTAAAATATCTATAATGTTAAATAACAATAATTATCATCATCAGTCAAAGTGTATCCTGAATGAGGTGGTGTTTACCCCCAGAGTAAAGAAGACACTTAAAACTGGTCTTAAGTGGACCAGATACCAGATCTGCACTGTAACAGCTATGTACATGCCTTTATAAGTCATTCAACTACTTACACAGTCTATTCATTTTACACCAGAAACTGTCACGTCTCCTCTGTTCACATACAGCGTCTCGTTCTAGACAGTTTACTTTGGCACAGTACCCAGGCGGCAGTAGTTTTCCCTATAGCGGATTCACGCATTACTCATGAGGAAGGTACAGCAGCGCAGTATGGCGAGATGTGGTGAAATGCTAGAAAACTCAGGAAGAGTTGCAGCTGCAACCATAGTTTAAAGGGCAATTTCGCAGTTTGTTTAATGTGATATTTGGATGGTTCTTTGGTCTGATGGACAACTAGTAACAAGCACAACTGGACTGCATGGTTTGGTGAAGCATTATTAAGTCATTCTCTTATTCTTTAAGTATGTGCAACCAGTAGCAGCTCTGGATCAAACTGTGTCACCCAAACAGTGTTCTGTATTGTTGATAAATGACGATGATTTTCTTAAGGTGAATTTTGGCTGAACGTTTGTGTGTAGTCACACCCAGAAAAGCAACACATTCAGTCCAGTTTGACTTGATTCCCAGCTCTGCTCTCAGACTAGAACAAGTCAGATTATCGCATAAAAAGGAGATACTGTGGCTTTAAAATGGTTATTCACAAAGTTAATCTCTGTGGTAATTGTTGTGCTGGCAGTGGCCACAGTAGGTACCAGAATGTGGACAAGCTGCCTATAACCACTGCTGGGGGTGGTTCCTGTGCAACCATCTTCAATCTAAAAGCCTGTTGGAAGAGGAAAGCTGACCTTGTATTAAAGACTGATAAATATTTATTAAACAGTACAAACAGTCTGGATTCCTACATTGTTGGCGGTGTATGTTTGTGTGTACGTTCCCGCCTTAGGAAGATGCTTCTTAAAATGTCTGCTGAGTTTTGTATGTTTTATAATAAATATAGCCAAAGTCTCTGTCCATAAATATTTGTGGTAAGTGAAAGTGGCATTAGTTTTACAAAGAGTGGTTTATAGCACCTATTATTTTCCTTGTGGTATTTACCCAACTAGTGCAAACCACCTTTTTGTCACGCTTCGTGTTTATCTTTATGCCACACGTCTCTTCCTCAGCACCGGATCTGTAAGTCACTCTCGTTTAGTCTTTTTAATCTCATTTCGGGCTTAGCATTCCTGGTTCCAGCTTGGTGCTGCTGCTGCGGCCCCAGCAGCTCGCTGTGATGCTCATGCTGCGCTGGGCGGCTCCCTGGCCGTGGCTGGGGGGGCGCTCGCTCCCGCTCCAGCCGCTCGCTGTCTGATTGGCTCTGTGTGCGCTCTGGTCTGTTGTGGATGTTGCCTGTTGGTGAGCTGGGGGCTGGCTGGGAGGAGATGGTGCGCAGCAGGTGGTTCCTCTTCCTCAGGAATTCGCTGTTTGCGCCCAAGCCAAAGCTGCCTTTACGTAGCACCATGCGTGCGCTGCTGGATTTGGCTGGCCGAGAACGGTGATTGTATTCCAACTGGGACAGATGAGCTGCGTATCCCTCTGTGATGAACTGTTGGCAGCATCAGAGCAGAGACATACTGTCAGCTAGAGACAAACAGGATTAATTTAAATCAAGCTGTTTTATTAATTTAAATCAATGAGGTAGAGAAGCAATATCAGAGAACAAACAAGTGTCACATGTTGTCTTGTCTTTAGATGAGTATTTTTAAAATGTGTTCACTTAAAAAGCGAAATCTTTTTTCAAGCTGTGCATAAAATGATGGAATGGAACCTGGCACTGGTGCTGCATCTTCTTGGAGGGTCTTCCGACGATGTATATTTGGGAGGGAGGGAGGCCAATGGCGGTATAGACTGAGATGTCTTTGGTCGATCCATAGCCCGCAAAAATCTTCATGTGAGCCTGGAACCAGTTAAACAAGGAAGAGAACTGTTTGGCACTGGATTGTTCTTATCAGCTGAGTAAATATTTTTCACATGTCAGCATTATTGTTTTCACCTCTGAGAGTCCATTTCTTTTTCATTCCACAGAGACCTGGACTACACATACAGAAACTACACTTCTTATGAAACTGCACACACATATATCCCTGTCAGTTCTCACACCTCTGTCAGGGACTTGAGGAAGTTGGCCTTGTGTCTGAGTGGGTCATGGACCAAGCCATCACAGAAGGAGACAATGCCATGAGGGAAGTTGTGCTGAGACAACCAAGCCACCACCCGCTGCTTCTGCATGTCTGGACGTCCTGTCACATAGATGATCAAATAGCCTAAATCCTGCCAGTGCCTGCAATAAGCACCAACAGAAAAATATAGACATAAATAATAACACCGCACACTTATGTACTTCAATCTGAAAGAAGGAAAACAAGAGAAGAGCTGGGTACCTGACAACGTCCACAGCTCCTGCCCGCACTTTGGGATCACTGCCCATGATTGAGACACTGGCAGCAAAAGACCCGTCAATGCTGAATACCACAAACTCTGTGCCTCGTGGAATAACTGTCAGGTAGCTGTCTGCAAACGTGTGGTCACCCCTAGTGAGTAAAACATAACAACAGAGTGTGAGAAAGTGGAGGCAGACAAAGATTTTTTATTTTTTTTCTTGAAATTGACCTTGAGGACACTGAAACACAGTAACAAAGTGATCTCACCTGACAACCATTTTCACTGGGTAGACTCCGATGCCCAGACGCTTATCCTCTGGGATGACAAAAGACACACGGCCACTGCTGTTTGTCACCTCTGTGTTGAAGTACACCCATTCTCCTGATGGGGGCTGGGTCATGATGTGCAGGTCAACCTGTGCAGGATTGCAAAACAAACATAACCTTTCAATTAAAAAAATAAGCACAAACACAAATTACGCAGGCATCAGTTTGCGTGTTGCTGTATGTTATGACAAAATAGAGCTCACCTTCTCCCCAGCTAAAGTGACCATGTCTAGGGGGCCGTACATGAAGCGACCGGTCACAACCTGCTGGCTGTCTTCAGTAAACACAGCATCATTCACCCGGTGGTTGGCAGTCACATTCTGTGCAAACAGTGAAAGAGAAATAATGTAGTTACTGTTGCTTTTTTGTTTAAGCATCTTTAGGGTCTTTGAAGTTCAATTAGAAAGGCCAAAGCTCCTAGCAGAGCACAACAAACTGGCTTCTTTTGTAGCTGACGATGCTTACCCTGATCTTCACATGAGTCCTCTTGCGGAGCCACTTCTCTCGAGGTTTGGATGGGGTGAATTCAGATACTTCCTTCCCGTTGAGTTCCAGGATGCTGGAGTTTTCATGCCTCATGACCTACAGGGGACATTTCAATCACTCATCCTCAGAATCTCTGGAGAGGATACATATTTAACAAGCCATAAAGAATGGCAGGTATTACATCTACTCACCTGTCTCAGGAGAAAAGACACAACATCAGTGGATTCCCAGTATGATGCGTGGAAGAGGTGTGGTAAAGCCACTGTGGGGAAAGCGGTCAGAGCATCGGGGCAGTACAGGGCAAAGTCCAGCCGCTTTGTGCCCCACCAACGTGCTGCAACTGTGATGGGAATGGAATTAATAGGGGGAACAGATGTAAGATGAAACTCTAAGAGTCAATGTGAGGTATGTGAAGCCACGCAAAGGTGCAACGCCACTGAAGTTAAAGCAACAAGATGACAGGATCACAGAACCCAGCAGTGCTACAGAAAAGAAAGGAAGGAGTTCATAATCATTTTAACAATGAAATCAAATACTTGAATTCAAGTACAGAAAGAAGAAAAAGCTAGTCAGAACTGATATGTACTTATAAAAGCAACTGGTGGTTATTCGTGTTAGTATGGGCATGAAAAATGATTATGGGCAACATCAGAGCTTATACACCGCTACACATCAGTGAAAGTGACTGCCTTGAATCTTTGTAAATTTAACTGACAAAGAATACAAATCAAATACAGAGGAGAAAAACAGGCTGTCTGGAAGAGCAGCAAAACCTAGAGTCTTTGCATTGTTATATACAGTATAGAACAGCACACAGAAAAGACCTGCAGCCTCATGATGATTTCAGGTGTGCCCTCTCTTAGAGAAAAATACCTTGCTCCATTTCAGTCTGGGAGTCCAGTGAGACCAGATCAGATATAGCACAGTCCAGCCCCGCTGACGGGCAGTTCTCATACTGGCCAGTGGGACTTAGACCTTCACTAGTGTCTGCCTCACCGTCCAGCCCTGTAGCCTGGTTGGCCCCTGCTTTCTTACGGAACAAAGGAGGACTTTTCTGGAGGAATTTGTTTTGTGGTGATAAGGCGAGTAGGGACAAATGGCTGAATGTTTTGGGTTGGTTAATTTGGCATGATTTGGCTATAGGGAGAAAACAAAGAGAAAAAAAACTGTATAAAAATGCATGCATGTTGTTATGTGAGAGTTTATGACAGTTTAAACGGTTTGAAGAGTGATCTTTCCCTGCATCCAGTGTCAGTAAGCTGCCTTACACAGAACTGTGAATGTCAAAGCTGAAAAATAATCATAACAGTTAAAGTACGGCAATACTATTAAGAACCTTCTGATGTTGCAGGGGTAGAAATAGGTCACAGTTAGTAAAGGTGCATGTGCAGAGTTGTACTGTAGGAACTGGAACAGCAGTGCTCAGAACACTAGCGCGAAGTACAGATAAATGTTCTGGTAACAGAAGTGACAGAGTGGGGGGTTGGAGGACAATCAAACAAATAGGAAACAGAGTACAGGTTATCTCGGCAAACATTGCAATAGGGAGTGGACAATGCAGGAATGGCTGAGGGAGGCAGACATCCGCATGCATTGCAACATTAGATAAATGCAGCACTCATTCATTGCATTTACATTTAGACAGTGGATAAGAATAAGACAGACAGTGGAAAGTGGCACTAAACTTGCTCTTCTTCAAGACTCTGCCTGGGACATTGATTTTAAAGAGGAAATGGACAAAACAACCTGCACGAGTCTCCCTACAATGCAGGTATTAAGTCTGGCTAAGCAGAAATAGGAAAAGGAAAGGGGTTTCCATGTCTATCTGGCTGAGAGGACTGCTCCAGCTGGAGTGCAGGATGTGTGTAGAGTCAGAGTAATGAGGTCAAGAGAGAGAGAAGAGTCAGAAAAAGAGAGAAAAGTAGGACTGAAAGAAACAAGGGGTGAAAATAACTAGAACCAGTGTCTGTGTGAGTGGAAGGAAGTGAGAAAGCGAGACTGGTTGGTGCTGAGAACACTTACTGTTGGCTATGTTGGTGGCAGTGTAACTGTCTGCCATTCCTGAGACCTGGCTGGCAATGCTGACCTCACTGGCCCTCCGCTGGCCCCGGGAGAGGGGGCCGGTTATGGGGGATGAAGGGTAAGAACTGTCCATGAAGACACCACCATGAGACTGAACAATATCCGCTATTGAGCCGAAACAAGGAGATCCCATTAGACAGAGACACAGGTAAGGGGAACTCACAGTGATGGGGGAGGGAGATGGAGTTTAGGAGAGAAATGTGACGGCAGGCATCGTGGTTTCAGAGGACATGTGAAACCACCAGGCGGCCAGATGGTGACCAAAGTCAGATTTCTGTAAGCGACCAAGTGGAAACACAGGTGTATGAATACATAAAACACTTAGTGAATGTGAACTCACAAACACCCACATCTGTTACAGTCACATTTCTGTTAGTATCTCTAATGAAGGTTAATTTTTGTCTAATAGCAAAGTAACATCTTGTTCATTGTCTTTGTTGGCATAATGAAGCAGTGCTACAATATAGTAATCAGATGACCTCTGACCATTACCACAAGGGCAAACATAGAGTACTGTATATTCAGAGTGTACAGACAGAGCTCCAAGCAGGCATTTAACTGGAATTCCTGAGTAGGGAGAGCTACTGTCCAGTGAGGCTAGGGGGACTGCGTATTGGTAAGCGGTTTCCACAGTCCACACTGATGACAGTTCTCATAGGGATTAGCAGCTCCAGTGAAAACAGTAGGGACTGTATTGTGTTTTGGTAAAATTTCAGACTAATATCTCAAATTGAATCTAACTATATCTAAACGACCATATACCACAAGGGAGGACTGTGTACATTTGCATGTTTTTAAATGTTATTATTATTATTTTGGTTTTAGATGAAGCAACTCTTTAAAAGAATTAGAGTTCACCTCCGTGGAACACTGACACCCCTCTCCTTAGGTCTATCAGCCAACAAAGTGGCCAAAAAATGCTTTAAAAATTAATTTAGAACCGATTCATAAAACAGTGAATTCCTGTCTGGGGAAACTACAATATCTACAGTAACTAACGGGAAACTTGCCATGCCAGAAAAAAAAGACAATATTGGGACTGGATTCATCCTGGGCACAGCATGATTTCACTGTATAAAGATAGAATCTGTGTGAAACTGCTACAGGTTTGCTATGCAGGGAAAAAAAATCATTCAGGTTAATACGTCTAAATACAGAAGATTTAATAATTAATGAAGTTACTACTGCTGTGCAATGTGCATAAATTGTACAGGGCCCCTGTTTTAATTGGGCTCCAAGTACTCTCTGCAAACACAACATCACCAAGGAGCAGAATCTTCACATCAAAACCTCACAGGCGACAGTAGAAATACCCTCAGTCAACATCGAAAATCTGATATTACTGAAATGATCCAGACACACTAAAACCCAGATTAAAACCCACAAGACAAACACAAATGCTTATGTCCTTTAAATATCAAACATAAATATGAACATGTGATGTCAACAACAAAATGAAACACCGTAGGAGATGCTTATCAGATTTTCCCAAGTATTTCCACTGCAAGTATAACAATTTGTTATAATTTCTATTTCAAACCATCAATACTTAATAGGTCAAGAATTCAACCAGTAAGTTAACTTGCTTAAACAACATGCTACAAGAAAAGGTATATATTTATTATTTGCATTGGTCAATCAGTGTATCTTGACTCTGGAAACAACAGTGATGGGAGGACACATGGTAGATCTGAGCATCTTGGACAGGACAGGACAGGACAGACAGACGGAGACAGAAACATGGGGGTGATGACAGATGCAGGTGAATGGGAGAGGCTACACACACTCCATAGTCAGTTTAGCACAGGCACAGGGATGCAGGTCTCACTGATGGTCTCCTGACAACGAAGGGACAGAGGAGGCCCACTGTCAAGTAGCAGCTGAGCGTTGCTCTGGACTGTCTCCACTACAGAGGGAGGTGGAGGGGCAGAAGGGGCAGAGGTCAAGGGAGGGGGAGGGGTTTGGAGGTAGAGAGCCAGGTATGCAAATATGGGGACAGGAGGCCAAGAGAGGAAGAAGGAAAAAAAAAGACAAGGAAGACACAAAAACATATGAAGCTAGAACAGCCGAACATGAGACAGGAAAGCAGAGTCAACCCAGAGTTGAACCCACTTCTTCTGAACCAAAACTGGTCCTCAGTCACAACACAGTCACATGTTCTAAATGCCAGGTGATAACCACTCTCTTAACTTAAAAATTATATTGAAAAACTTCATTGATACTAAAAACCTTTTAATTAGTTGCACAAGACAAACCTGAGGATATTCAATGACAGCTCATTTGATTTAGGACTGACACATAAAAATCCCGGCCTGAAGTAATTAGGAAATATCTTTGTGCTCATGTCTCTCTTTAATAAGCCCTGGGTTCTGGTTCATTGGTGGAAGCAATTTCAACCTGCTCATTAGTTACTTCACTAATGTCTAAGGGTAGGGTGAAACTCTAAGGGTTCCTCCACTATAATGCCCAGTCCAAACAGAAACCACCAGCAGGACCATGACCACATTTAGATGAATAAACTGCTTCACAAAAGATGCTGAATCACAAACAGCAGAAAAATGTTTCATTTTTCTTTGAGACAGTCTTTACTCTAACAATGTTTATCTGTAAAACAACAATGTTTACGTGTAAAGCAACTCAGAGTGTGCTACTAGGGTGTGTCTTGTCTATGGCATGCATCCATGAGAAACAGGGCGGTGGTTACAACCAGTGTTTCAAGTGCCAGCTGATCTTATGTTAAAAGGAGAAACTAAACAGCCATTTTATTGCAGGTAAATTTGCATTTGTGTCTGTGCCTGTAAATCCAAGTCAGAAGTATATACAATATTCTAAACGGTACTTTAAAACGGAACTCAGCGGACAATAATGAGTCATTTGACCCTGAAAAAAACTTTTTCATGAACTCTGAAAATAATTGCAAGTATTACACGGATGAGCAGTTTAACAGCAATGTCAAGACTGAAAACAAATTATCACTAATTCACTTTAATAGCAGAAGTCTATACGCAAACTTTCAGAGTATCTTAGTAGATCTTAGTAGTCTTACACATTCTTTTAATATAATTGCTATTTCTGAAACTTGGATTAATAATGTAAGGGGAATGGATTTTGACCTTGATGGGTACGCCTTGGTATGTACAGTCTTATGCAAAAGTTTAGGCACCCCTTGATAAATAACAGATTTTGGTGATTTTTTATTTGAACAGATGTTAACACAGTTTCTCTTGGAAATGGAAAAAATGCACAATATTTTCTGCAAACAGTGATGCATAGTTACTTCTTATGCCATAAATTGAACAAAAATAAAAAATAAAAACATTATTATGGCATGGTGCAAAAGTTTGGGCACCCTAAGAGTTCCAGAGTCTCAAAGTCTCTCACAAGGTATCAGACCTTAATCAGCTCGTTAGATCTGATGCACAGCAACAGCTGTCATTGGTAAATGCCAATTTCAAAGCTGTACAAATACTTTGACTCTTCAAACCTTGTGCACACACTTGTGGACACCCAGCAACCATGGGTTCCTCTAAGCAGCTGTGTAAGACCCTGAAAATGAAAGTTATTGACGCCCACAATGCAGGAGAAGGCTACAAGAAGATAGCAAAGCGTTGTCAGCTTGCAGTTTCCACAGTAAGAAATGTAATTAAGAGATGGCAGATCAGGGGAACTGTGGAGGTCAAGATGAGATCTGGAAGACCAAGAAAACTCTCGGACAGAACTGCTCGTATGCTGGTCAGAAAGACAAATCAAAACCCCCATTTGACTGCAAAAAACCTGCAGGAAGATTTAGCAGACTCAGGAGTGGTGGTGCACCGTTCCACTGTGCAGCGATGCTTGCACAGACAAGGCCTTCATGGAAGAGTCAGCAGAAGAAAACCTTATCTGCGTCCCCATCATAAAATCCAACGTCTGAAGTATGCAACAGGACATCTACAGAAGCCCGATGCGTTTTGGAAACAAGTGCTGTGGACTGATGAAGTTAAAATAGAACTCTTTGGACACAATCAGCAAAGGCATGTTTGGAGAAAAAAAGGAGCAGCATTTCATGAAAAGAACACCTTGCCAACTATTAAGCATGGGGGTGGATCTATCATGCTCTGGGGTTGTGTTGCAGCCAGTGGCACAGGAAACATTGCACGGGTGGAGGGAAGAATGGATTCCACTAAATACCAGCAAATTCTGGAAGCAAACATCACACCATCTGTAAAAAAGCTGAAGCTGAAAAGAGGATGGCTTCTACAACAGGACAATGATCCTAAACATACCTCGAAATCCACTATGGAATACCTCAAGAGACGCAGGCTGAAGGTTTTGGAATGGCCATCACAGTCCCCTGATTTAAACATCATTGAAAATTTGTGGGTAGATCTTAAAAGAGCTGTGCATGCAAGACGACCAAAGAATATTACAGAACTAGAAGCCTTTTGCAAGGAAGAATGGGAGAAGATCCCAAGTACAAGAATTGAAAGACTTTTAGCTGGCTATGAAAAGCGTTTGCAAGCTGTGATATCTGCCAGAGGAGGTGTTACTAAGTACTGATTGTGTAGGGTGCCCAAACTTTTGCACCATGCCATAATAATGTTTTTATTTTTTATTTTTGTTCAATTTATGGCATAAGAAGTAACTATGCATCACTGTTTGCAGAAAATATTGTGCATTTTTTCCATTTCCAAGAGAAACTGTGTTAACATCTGTTCAAATAAAAAATCACCAAAATCTGTTATGTATCAAGGGGTGCCTAAACTTTTGCATAAGACTGTAAACACCAAACGGCAGACAGGCAGTGGACCTTATTCACTAACATGCGCATAGAAATGTTCTTACCTTGTGCACAAAATAAGTGCAGGAGACATTACCATCATATTCATGACACCAGCCAATTTTGTTCTTTCTATTGTGTGTATGTTAGTGTAAATCAGAATCATTCTAAAATGACAGGCGCATTCCAGTGGTTTTCAAGTAGCCTGCTGCCATGCCCCCATTTCTCTATATACTTATAAACTAGAACAGTTTTTTAAATTTAATTTATTTCAATTAAAACTGTGATTAATCAGAATGACAGGGCATTAATTTCATGTTTATTTAATATGCTACATTTGGTCAATGCATTAGTAAATTAATCATTATAGCCTTAAATTATATTAATCAATTATATTAGCTATTAAAACCTTTTTAATTAATATAGTTTCAGTTAAAATGTGTTTGCATTTTTTAGCCAGCCAGGCCTTCATCATTTGTTCATACACATGGGGTGAGGCAGTATTAAATTTGTTCACAGAGTATGAACAAATTAAGGTAAGAAAATATTGATACAGAATATTGAATAAAATTGTGCATAAATTGTTTGTATACACGGTTTCAGCACAGAATTGTGTGTACACACTGTTTGTGGACGAGGCTTGGTGCTAGCAGCTAACTGGTGAACATACTCAAGCAGTTCGTAGATTAAGAATCAGATATTTTGGAGTTGGTGGAGACCAAAAACAGAGCTAAAAGAAAGTACTGTATATATTGGACCTGATGACCAGACACGTGACTCCAAATGGCAATAATGCTCTGTAACTGCTGGGTGTGTAAATAAGCAACTGCTTGCTGACAGGTTCACAAATTCAACTTAAAAGGTGAAGATATGTCAATATTGAGTCCCCAGGCAGTGAAAAAGGCCATTATTGCAGATTTAAAGCTACAGTAATGAGGGCAGCAAAATGAGAAAGGTGATGCTCATATTTTTGAATGAGAATTAGTTTGTCATTGGACTCTGAAGTTCTCCTTACAGCTGGGCTTTTAGCATCCTTCACTGTTTTCATTCTATAGTCCACAACTTTGCTGTTTTGGTTCACTCTGAGCACTGTCATCAGTGATGTTATTGGACACGACACCCTATTTTTAATAAAGAATGGAAAATGGTTTGGAAATCACAGGCACAATTGTTTGTGTTGCAGCAGTCACAGGTAAATTGCCTTTTGTTGCAATAATCACAATGATCACATTGACATGTTGAGGCCCATATGTATTTAGTCTGTTTAGCCAGTTTTTTTTTTATTACATATCAAATAAGACAAAATAAGATGGTACAGTTTTGAATCATTTAAGGTTGTAGTGATATGGTACAGGGGTGTACTGAGTTTTGTTATATACTATATGTTCAGCTGCCTCCAGCTAATGTTCACTGTGCAGCTGTAACTATGAAGAGATTGAAAAGTGCACTTATGCTCTCTAGGCTGCAGGACTTACAGTACAGCACAGCAAATGAACTTAGCTGTAAACCTTTACTGCCATGCCTTCTCTGTGCTTACTTTTGTAGTAAATGTAATTTCAAGTCTTACTACCAATTTCATTATTTCACTCGTAATGAGAGTTGTTTAAATGAAGGACATTTCCATCAGCAGTCCCCAAGCTGAATAAGATGACCAGTAAAAGTTGAACAACTGCAGTGATCCATGCTATGAATTCAAGATGGTTAACACTAATTTAGGATACCTGTGTTTCGGCCTGTTCTTTTGCATTTGAATAAATAATCTCTTTGTGCTTCCTTGTCTTCTTTCCTTTTCTCATTATCTCACTATCAGAGGCACTCTCATTTCAGCCTGGGTACATTAATCATTCTTGAGGCCTCAGCTGGTTTCTGAGATTTAATCATTCAAAGAGGAATGGAATAAATATATTGGTGTTCTAATTTGATACTGTATGTGCAGATTAGATAACGGACACCCTGTGGTGAGAATCCAGACCAACCATTCTCAGCCATCCATCTATGTTATAGGGATCACACCAATGGAGCTTTCATACAGTCTAAATTGTTAAAATTTTTTGATTTAGTGGGATATAAGACTGCTGTGTTTTTGTATAAAGCCAGGAACAATTTATTACCTGGTGGAATTCAAAAACTATTTAATGAAAGGGAAGGGGGATACAATTTAAGGGGTCAGTTAAATTTAAAAATTCATGCTATACGTACAACCAAAAAAAGATTCTGTATTTCCATAAGTGGGGTAAAACTATGGAATAATTTAAGTGTGGACATAAAAAATAGTAATAGAATTGATGAGTTTAAACATAAATATAAAGGTATGTGTCAATCAAAATATATGCAAGAACAGGTTTAATGATTAATTAGATGGAACATTGTGGGTGTGGTGTATGAATGCTAACACTCTGTAATCATTTTTTAGTATATTACTTGTGTGGTGTAGAACAAAATTATCTATGTAGAGATACTGCTTGCAAACCAATGATGGTAAGATGATGTTATGGGGTAGGACTGGATAAGTCTGACTTCTTCCTACTCTGTTCAAGAATGTACTAGGTATAAGCAAATTGATAAGGGATTAGCATTTGTGGATATGTGTGAAATTATGTGTGTTGACATATCGACCATCTTTACATGCTTGAAAGAATAAAATCAAATCAAATCAAAAAAATTTGTACATCAGTAGTGCAGAAGACTCACCCAGTAGGGCAGAGTTTCCATCTCCCAGGGGAAAGCGTTGGTAACGGGGCACATTGAATGGAGGCAGAAGGTGAAATTTCCTCTCCAGTAGAGGCTCCAGGCGAGAAGCTGAGGGATCAGCTGGGTGGAACAGGTTGTAGACCTGCTGACAGGCAGGCCGCAGCTGGGCCACTAGGGGGGGAAAGTGAACCAAAGACATGAGAAAGGAGAAGGGAAGTACCCAAGGAAGGACCTTTTCAATCACATGGAAAAGTGGTATAACAATATCTTTCTCTACACACTTAAGGTCTACTACCATTTATCAGCCAGATACACAATTTATATTTTTATAAATAAAACAAATCTGAATCCATTAGGTATTTAAGGTCACTATACTAATAGGGGCACTTGAGGCAAACCTTTTGCAATTTTGCAGTTGAGCTGTTATTATTTACAACATGCAACATTTGCCATCGCTGGTTACACAACAGTACATGTTGCATTCCTCTGTACAATTTAGCTTACCATCTAGCATGGGGATGACAGTCTTTCTAAGGGCAAGCACCAAGCCCAGAGGAGAGCCAAACAGGAAAAAGTCGGACACCTCAAAGTCAAACTTCCCTAGGGAGCTTCCATCCAGCATAGTGCTGCTGCTCGACCTGCGTGAGGCTGCATCGTTCCGCAGGACACTTGAGTGTAAGCTGGAAAGACAGCGCAGAGTCGTTTCCTCATGCACACTAAAAATAAATCATATTCTGAAACTACAGAAACAAGAATCAGGTGCTTTTTTTTATCCCGCAGAAAGCAATTTTGATCATACCACACACCTGGACAGGAAAGCCTGGTGGTGTTTTATTGTGTCCAGTTCATAGGTGGAGGAGTCACTTCTCTTGCGTGGCATTTGTCTCTTGGCGTCATCACCTGCACTGGCACGAGGGATGTCGATGTTGCTGCGACTGAGGTGGCGGCTGCCCTCCAGGGTAGGAGAGGCACTATTGATAATAATGCCGGGAGAGAGGAGGTCTTGGTCCTGTGGGGGTGATTCAGAAATTGGTTTAAAATACATTAATTAACAGGGCAGGAACTTAAAATCATATTACAGCTAGTTCTTTAAATTCTTTTATTATGCCTTAAAATATTATGCCATTTGTAATCACTACACCACTGGCAGAGCATCAGGGGTGCAAGCAGTGCAGCTGCAACCGGGCCCAGTGCTATGTTGTTCTGCTATTGCACTATACTGATGTTTAGACAATTACCTGTGTGCTGACGACACTGCCCCTGCGACTGCTGTTCTGGCTTTCATTTACAGTCTGATTGCTACTGCACAGAGCATCAAACCCCATGATTCCTCCAACACAGTCCCCAATGAGGCAGACCTAGAGAGGCCAAGGATCAGAAATAATATACTGACATACATCCTTATGTTCAGGTTTACCTAAAATATTGATACACCTTGATTTGATTTGATTTATTCTTTCAAGCATGTAAAGACAGTTGATATGTCAACACACATAATTTCACACATATCCAACAAATGCTAATCCCTTATCAATTTGCTTATACCTAGTACATGCTTGAATGGAATAGGAAGAAGTCAGACTTATCCAGTCCTACCCCCTGACATCATCTTACCATCATTGGTTTGCAAGCAGTATCTCTACATAAATAATTCTCTTCTACACCACACAAGTAATATACTAAAAAAATATTACAGAGTGTTAACATTCTTACATAATTACATTCTTAAATACTTATCTTCTACGCCACACAAGTAATATATTTAAAGAATTATTACAAAGTGTTAACATTCATACACCACACCCACAATGTTCCATCGGGTTAATCATTGAGCCTGTTCTTGCATATATCT